CATAAATGCTAATTATGCAAAAAGCATCAGAAAGCGTTGCCCGGCAATAGTTGCACCATTAGCCACAACACATCGTTGATGTTGTTGTTTGCTGCGTTTTGTTTTTTCTCTCGCTCCGCTTAAGTCCGCACCGCGGACAGTGAGATTATGTGTATGTTGCAAGAAGAGGGAAACATAAATTACTACTGAAGGGACACAAAGAAAGGCTCAAAGTCAGGGAAAGTAATCAGCAAACATAACGCAAAACAATGGTTATTAATTAACAGCAAGCAAGTGAAGGTGAAAAGCTCTCTCGAGTGAAAAAGTCGACTTAGCTTCTTTTTTCTTCGTCTTGGTAACAGCTTTAGATGTGCGTGTGTGTGTGTGTGTGTGGGCCTTTTAACTTATTTATTTGCCATTAAATTTGTTGGCATCTAAAAGTTGTACATTTACTTTTGAATTTCTTTAATTAACATCTATCATAATGGATTTATTTACGGTCTTGCATATAAATAGAAACAGAAAATTTAATACCATTTTATCATGGTGGCTGCATTTGTACCTTTCTCCGGAAATAATTACAGATAAGCGGGATAAGAGAGGTCTGGCAATTAACTCGACACTTTATTTAAATACTTTTTTTTATAGCGGAAGTAATATTTTCATTCGAAAGGTATCATTTAAATGCTTAATTAGGCTACCATTTAAAGTATGTACATACTTATCTTGGCACCTCATTACCTCTTTACTTTATTCGTCTACAGGATGAACTTCATGCAGGTTATACTTACAGTCGAAGATCTTGAAGTACTTTTAATTATATATCCTCCTTCTGTGATAACATATCTTCTGGGCGTTCATTTAATTACACCTGTACCACTAAGCTAAACAAAACAAATGCCTTCATTTTACTTTTTGTCGCTGAAAGTGGAATTCCAACCTATTCTAGCAGACTTCTGCTCATAAATCTTTCTTCGGTGGCTGATCGGAGGACTGTCCTTGGACTTGTGTTCCTCTACAAATTGATTGTCGGAAGTGTCGATTCTTCTTTCCTTTTGGGTCGTCTTAACGAACAAGAATTTAGTTTCTTTTCCTCTTTAATATATGCTCATCTGCCTATGCATTGCGCAGTCTTTTTCGGGTTCTACTCCTAAATTATAATAATATTTTTTTCCACTTACTCCCAAGCGAAATTTCTCTTCCCTTACGAGAAGTCTGTTGTTTCAGCTATCTCCAAAATCTTTGATCCCATACAGAATTATTGTAATTTAAATATAATTTCCGAGTTAGGCTTTTTGTTCAAAATATAATGATATTAGGAATAAACAAAATTGCCATTAAACTCGGATTACAAAATTATAATCATAATCATATAATTATTTGGTCAGGGCTATATCGAAATTTAAGAATTCTTCGTTTGTTTGTTTAATTAAATGATTGGAATTTTTTGTTTTTCGGTTCCTTTTTTTGGTCCCTTGCTTGCCCTTTTAATCACTCCTTTAAATTTAATATAAAGTTAAGTTATAATGTTAATTTAAGGTGAAAAGTACTTACTACTACTTTATTCTTGTTCTGCAAAAGTGACTTAAGCTTTATGATTCCTTTCTATTTGTTTGGCAAGAAGGCGTGTAAATAACTTATTTAGAATAGATACAAGTTCTTAAAGCCAATAACTTTCTTATGTTGACTCTGGCCAATGCTAAATCATCCCTCTTTTTCTGCTCATTTCAATTTTGTTTTGTATTTTGTGTTGACTTGGCACAAGAAGTGGCTTACTTGGCGTATACTTGATATTGCACTTTTACCTTTTTGCTCCCAAAAACAACACACACACACTAACACCAAAACACTTGGCTGTCATTGTTTGTTGCCATCAATTGCTATAGTTTTAAACACCCATACACCCACCCAGACACACACACACACACACACACACACAGTGCTGGCTGTAGGTGTCTGTCGTTTTGGTGTATTGACTTTAACCGAGCTCTAATATAATAAAAATGCAAATTTTGCGCACCCAGCCCGCCACATTGTCGCTTCATTTAGTTTTTTTTTCTTGCTGTTGTATTTATTTATTTATTTATTTATGCGTTTTTTTTACTTATTCTGTTTAACGAAGTGAAATTAACTTTTTTGTTGCCTTTGTAGTTGTCGATTTTGGTTTTTATTTATACACTTAAAACGAAAAGAGATGAAAGCCGAAACAAAACTTCAGGGTGTGCTTAGTTGATGAAGAAAAATGTAAACTTCTTAAATAATAGATAGTCAGTCGGTTTGTTGATTGCTTTGCTCGCCATTTCTGTCATCCAAAAAGGGGTTATGGTTTCACTCTTTCCCGCATTTTCGATTCCATTTGAAGTCGAAATTCGCTTGGACTGCTTGGCATTGCTGATGGAATTGAGGACACTTTGACAGCTACTGGGATTTTTTAAATGTGTTGTTTCTGGTCCCAATCTTGTTCTTTTTTTCATGTTAAAAGACGCTATTTTTTTTAAAATCTTATACAGAAATTTGTTACAATTGAAATTATATCGTATTGTCGATTTGTGGAGGCTATAGCTGAGCCCAGTTGCCTCCGTATTGAAACAGATTATAAACAACAATTCATTCGCAATATGCACTCATTACTTTAATTTTCTTTTTTTAGCATCTGTCTCAAGAAAGTTGGCACTTGATTTCCCTCAGTGTAGCGTTTGTGTGTATGTATGTGAAGCACGCACAAAACACTTTGCCTGGTAATTTGGTCGTTCACTGTGCCACAGTTTTAGCCATTTTAGGGCCATGGGGGCAGCTTAAAGCGAGCGAAAACGTCGCCAGCTGCTGGGCAGCAGCAGCAGCAACAACAACAACAATAAGAACAACAAGAGCAACTACAGCAGAAGCAACAATCTTTATCAGCGCCCCCTGCCACTCAAATAAAGCGGTTACCAGTTGTCTGGCACGCACTTTTTTTGCGTCTCACTTCGGATTTTTCTTCATTTGCTGTCGGTTTTTTCTTTTTCTTTCTTTTTTTTTGGCTGCTGCTCTTCGAGTTCTTTCATTTGGAAGAATTAAGTTGCAGTGAACGAACGAGCGAACGAGCGTTGCCCCAAAGAAGGGTGGTTGGGGCCTGATAAGAGGGGACAACTCTCGTTTGTTGCCTTTGTTTGCCACACACACACACACATACTTGTACATACACACACATACATACACACACTCCAACTCAGCAGTTTCTTAGTCCTTCTTTTTCAATACATTCTCACTTACCCTCACGAACCCAACGACTATTATTTATTCTCACTTTATTTCTATTTTTTTCTTATACTTGCTTCATTCTTTTTTTATATTTTTGCGCTCTTACGGCCTCAATTTAGACGTCTATGCACGTTTTTATGCTGATAAGGAATAATAAAGTCCTGGTCGATTGTCAGGCACAAACGGAATCTTCGAACTTGCTGAAGCAGCAAGTAGCCTTCATACTAATAAGTACAATATGTAGTCCCCAACTAGCGATGTGCGCTCCAAATCCACAACACCAGCCAGCACCAGTTCCAAATGTTCACGAGCTTCTTGTTTGTTCAACTCATTGTTTTTATTAATTGAAATAAACTACTATAAACATTGAAACATTTTTTATTACAGCTGTTATAAATCCTCCTTCAAATTTCGCAAAATTCTTTAAGCTTTGCACTCGTTTTTTTCAATTCGCAAAAGCTTCATTGTTATCAGATGATGATGACATAACTTGACTGATTACTTTCGTTCATCAATAATGTATAAGCGAGTTTGTTTATGAACATTGAAAATAAATTACAAACTATATTATTTTTTTGTAGCTTTTTAGTGATCGAAATAGACTTTATTCCGTCAACACCAATTGATTGGTATTCCTTCTTTTTTTTAGATAACAGCAGTCTTGGATCTTAGATCTAAAGATTAACAGAAAGTTAGTACATTACTCATCTTTTGATTTATAAAGCTAGGACTATCAAAACTTCCCATTTATATGAAACTTACTATACGAGTACATATACATATATATATTGGACTCTTAACAGCCCTCATAGAGACTATCTGTATGAAGAATTGGATTGAAATCTAATAAGAGTATAATGTAAGCTAACGGTGCCCGGTTTCCGGGGGGTAGAACGACTATAGGCTATGCCTATTATATAACCATAGATTGTAAGTTTGAAGCGGAAAAGGAGGGGGCTGCAGAGAGCCTGCCACTAAAGACAATTTTTAAAATATATAGTCTCCATACATCTTTCATTAGGGGTTCCCAAATATATAACAAACTCTATCTGGCGATTATACCGGGACCAGAGCATCATTGTAAGCTCAGCAAGGATCTATAAACCTCAGACTTAGCAGTTCTATCACTTAAGGTATCAATTAATAAAACGAGCTCACTAAAACATAGCCTAGCTTTAATATGATCTTACCATTATCATATTATTTTATATATTCAAGTCAGATTATACAAATACTATAAATTTGTAGTTTTTATTGTCATATTACGAAAATATATGAGTACTGTTATTTTGTAAAATCTGTAAATAATTTATAGTGTTTTTCTCGTTGCTCGTTAATTTAGTAATTTCAAGAATATTTTCGGTATTATTAGACTACCTATTTATGGTTAAGCTGAGCTTTTATCTTGACTCAGATGGGTGTTTATGAATTTCAGAAATCGATGGATCGCTTTTAAAGCAAACGATATTATTTGCTGCTTATTTGAAAATCAAAATGAAAGCCTTACCCTCTATTATTTAGTTTAAGTTTCGTTTGAGAAATCATAGTTAAATCTCAGACGCTTCAGAACAAGTTATCATAAATTCATAAATCTTTTCGAACTGGTTCGGAGCGGCACAGTTGCCAAGCTTGTTGCCATTATTTATCTAATATGCTTCATAGATCATTTAATGCATTAGAGGATTTTTCGCTCAAATTACTTTATATACTATATATAGCATATATGTGGGGTCTACATCTCTCCCCACTCTCCTCCACTCATTCAATTTATAGACAACCTGTTGTGTGTATGTGTGTATATTTGACAAAATCATTGTGGGTGTATTACAAGTTAATATATTTCATTAAAGTGCTAGAATTTTGTGGAAATCGTATTTTTGTGTAATATGATGCCGTGAAGTTCTTCATCCATTCGGCACGCATGTTATTGTTTTCGCTTTTTTTTGATTTGTTTTTGTAATCTTGCTCTAGTGTCTTATAAGTTGGACGCTCCATTCTTAATGCAGCATAATGTGTTGTGGAATATTGAAGAGAAGTCGCCCCCTTCTCGCCCCCTCCTCTCTGGTGTGCTTCGCTCTGTGTATCTGAAATTTGAACAGCTGTGGTTGTAATTGTCAGCAACATCTTACTCTTTACTTACCATTGTGTACTTGTTGGCAACATAAAGTCCATGTTGCTTTTCCCTCATCATCAAATAGCCACTCCCTCCTGTATTCATTTGGGTGTCACATGATTTTTAAAGCACCACAATACTATCATATTTTGGCTTACCATTGTTTGTTTTCGCTTAAAGTTCGCCATTAATTTTCGCAAATTTTCTTCTGCTCCTCTGGATTGCATCCATCTGGCTTGCATTGTCCGGCATCGTTAGCCGGGTAGGAATCCTGGGGACTCAATATGCGATGAGATGAGAGGTGCACCAAGCTGGCCGATCGGTTTTGTGTCGTTGCAGCCTTCTCTGTAGATTCCACAATCTGGCTTTCTTTGACTTCCGGCACGACCTTGTCGCCTCCACCTTCCTGCACCTCTAGCTGCTCCAGGTTCGACTTAACCTTTGTTTGTTGGTCCACGGAATTGAAGACAGTCGATATTTCAACGGATTTCGTTTCATTGATAGCTAACACCTCCTTCTCTAGCTTGGCCAATGTCTCAGAAGCAAACAAACTCTCATTGGCTACCATCTGATTAGCAATAAGTGAACACTCTATCTTTGACCCTATCATGAGCTCTACCTTTGGATCTATCTTTAGAGCTGGAATTACTTCTACCTCTTCCACTTCCTCTTGCTGTAGCTGCTGCTGCAGAGAATCGGAAGCGCTTGAAATCTTTTCTAACATTTCCACATGGGACTTTATCTGCGGTTCTACCATGAGCTGCACTAAATCGGAGCCCTTCAGAATCTTGTTCTTGGACGTCTTATAAATATATGACCCCTCAATCTTTTGAACTAGCTTAGGCTTAGACAAGCCCTCTTCAATTCCTGAATCTACATTCGAAACGATTTCCGGTCCAAAGCTCGATTCTATACCAATTATCATCTTTAATTCTTCATTTGGTTTCGATATTGAGTCCAAATTTTGCTTAACCTGCAATTCCTTTCCATTTGGCTGCTGGACTGTGGCAAATGCCTCGGACTTGACCTTCAGGGGCAACTGTAGTCTGTGCTCCATCTGGACCTGTACAAACTGTACATGCTGGCGCTCTACAGCTATCACATGATGAGATGCCGTTTGCCTCAAGATTGCTTGCCCGGATACTAATTGGCGTGGAGCTACTGACTGGTAATTGGTTTGCCGCAACATCGGTTGCTGTTGCTGTTGCTGCGATGATCTTCGATCTAGAGACTTGAACATCGGTGCCGTGTGGCCTCTGTATTGCTGTATTTGATCGTTGTTATAATGTCGGTAGTTGTTATAGTGATACTGGCGATTATGGTTATATTGTGGCTGTTGATGTAGCTGGTAATTATGATGCTGTTGATGTTGCTGGTGCTGGTGATGTTGCTGGTGATGTTGTTGCTGGTGATGTTGTTGCTGGTGATGTTGTGCCTGTGGCTGTTGTTGATATCTGTTATAGCTATAGCGATGGCGTTGTTGTTGATTGCGATCAGAATTGTACATGTAACGACGACGATTGTCCGAACCATGATGATACACATTGGAATGATAGTTATGGTCATAGCCACCGCAGGACTGCTGGCTGAATAGATGAGCTGCAACCGCCTCCTGTTGCTTCTTTAACTGTTGTACTTCTTGCAGCAGCATTTGGTTGACTTGGTGCTGTTTTTGCTGTTCCCAAAGCAATTGGCGCTCTCGATCTATTATAATTTGTTTGCATTCCTTCTGGTTGTGGTTCAGTTCGTCCAGTTGATTTTGCTGCTGAAACGGACAAACCAAAGTTCAGATTTCACTGATCGATGATAGCCATCGAAAAGTATAAACGAGTATGGAAAATTAGTTCTACCTGTGTACCCATCAGCTTCTCAAGGCGCTCGACCAGAGTGCACATTTGGCGCACGGTTACGGCCAACAATTGCTCTGACGCTGAATTATTTGACAATGATGATGGTTGCGATTTCGGTTCTGTGGTCGAGGCCGAAGCCGAGGCCGAGGCCGACGCCGAGGTCGATGCTGAACCAGCAGACTCCACAATAAATGGCGATCCCTGCACTGTCTCCGCGGTCAATGTTGAAGCCCAAGTGGTATTTGGGCTTGTGTTTTGTCCCAGCGTCGACGACGATGAGACAAAAGTTGATGTTGATGGCCGTGGCTTGGATCGTGGAGTGGGTGCCATTGTGGCCATATTTTGCTGTTGTTGTGGTTCCTCAATCGAGGAAAGTGGAATTACGCCAAAATGGCGATGTAACGCTGCCAATTTGCGCTGTTCCTCCTCAAATTGTTCAAAACTCAAATCCGGTGCAGAATTGAAGCAATTATTGTTCAGAAACATGCTGCTATCGTCTGCATTGCTGACCTCGACATCAGCAGCATAGCAGATTTCATTGCCTTCTTTTGGTACATCGGACACATTAACGATGTCAGTATCAAAATCTTTATTAAGATGTTCAGCTTTAACAACATTATTTGTATTAACAGCTGTGCTGTCCTTTCTAGCTTCTAGACAAATGGGCCCCCACAGGGTCTCAAGCTTATAGCTACTGCCAGCAGCCATTCGCTTCTGCAATTAGATGGAAATCACCATTATACTTTCAAATGTCAAATTTGTTGTCAAGTACGAGAAGTTGCTTGGAACTATATGTCAAGCGAACAAATTATTCGGTAAAGTCTGGTTGAAAAGAACTGCAAGTAGGCCCTCGCCTACCGAAGTCAATAACAAATGATTTCCCAGCCATATCCCATAAAGATGTGCGATCTACTTACCTCATAGTCCCTTCTGGTCTCCGCATTCCAGCGTCGATTATGCTCGAGCCAAATCTCTTGCTCCCGCTCCTTGGCCTTCTTGGCCGCCGCCAATTTAAGCGCTCGCTCAAAGCCAATGGGCGGCAGAAGCTTCCGATGCTCATCGAAGCTGTCGCGTTCACTCGACAACGTCCCGCCGTAAAACATCGCGATAGACTACGAAGCTATAACTATATTCGCAGCTTGTCGAAACTATAACTATTTAACAGACACACAATTCACACAATTTTTTCTAACGTTTATTTTTTTCACTTTTTTATGCAGGATTTTTCGACTTTTATTCCGACTTGATGTTTTCACAATGAAATCCAATACACACTGAATCAAACACAAATCGAATTAAATACCAGCCAAATCAAAATTTCAATGCCTACTCATGTCGAATGCACAGCCATCTTGATTTGGAAATAATACCATACAATTATGCATAAAATAAATAAAATAAAAATAAAAACGCATTGAAAGGTTCTAAAATATACGATTGATTGCAGTTAATGTTTTTTATTAAAGAACCTTCTTGGTATCTGAGGCTTGACAAATAGTTAGAGAACAAGAATTCAATACTTTTTTTATAATGTGGGTGTACTGGTCAAAAGATAACTGTATTCTAAAGGTATCTGCATTCTTTTGCAAGAATTGTTGAAGACTGCATAGCACGCCCTTCTCTCCATGATTGTATTCTTTCTTCAGACTGCAATGAATCGTTGTTTAAATGATTATAAGCTTATCTCATTTAAGTCTTGGAATTGTGAACTTGTTTGTTCGAATTGAATGGAACGGGAAGTTACATCCATTCAGGCATTCAGAAAAATACACTTATTATCTAACAGACAGACAGAACGACCATAAAGGGAAGTGCTTTGCGGGAACAGCTGCGATAACATTTCGATCTGACAAAATTTGATAAACCAAAAAACCACTTTTTTTATTACATAATAACTACAAGATAATTATTACAAGATAAACTTTTTTAATCGCTACAATTATAATCTGAAATATATATACTCTAAATCCGTATATGCATTTGTATAAATATAAAAGTTATAGAGATCAAGAGAAATGAATTTTACTTCAATAAGAAAGCGTCAAATTTAGGAGATATAAGAATTCAAAAATAGTGGATTATCTTTAGATATCGAGATGATTTAAAAATTATGAATGTTTGATTTAAAAAAAGGAAAAAGTTATCAATGGCAAGTTTAAAGATAACATTGTATAGTCACTTCAGTTGCTAAATCAGATGAACTATTTTTGAGAATATTACTAGAAGAACATCTTTTTCAATTACTCTGTAATAGATAATAGCTAAGGCTACTATTTCACAAGTAGTCTTTGAAAAGTAAATCTCGATGAAGTTTTATGTGGCAAACTTGTATTTTCGTATAGAATTCTTCTAAGTCTAATTAATATTATAATCATGACTTGCTGGTGCAGAATATTTGCTTGTCTGACCATCTCATAACTAACTTGAGTTTGTTTAGATGACATTCAGCAACTAATTGATTTACAATGCTCTTCCCATTGTCACTTTACAGGTCGAATATGCTACAACCGAGTCTGTTGTCACGGTTGATTGGGAGAATGGATTTGTAGAGGCGTCGGCAGCGAAAAACGAGAACATAACACAGGTAAGCTAATACTGACTAGAGGATGATGAACACAAATAACCGATTCGTTGCTTTGGCAGGTTTTCAAGGAACTACTGGCCCAGGCCAAAATCACCTACAATCTGAGCCCGGCGTTGCGTCGTCGCCGCCAGTCGTTGCCCCAGCAAATTGGTAACAATGGGCCCGGTACACCCCTGCACCATCATCACCACCATCACCAGGGAGGGGGTGCGCACGGAGCACATTCGGGGGCGCATGGCGGCTCATCTACACCAAGCTCGGCATCGACATCGGCCGCCGCGGCTATGGGCGGACATGGCTCCCATACTCCGACGCCGGCGCAGCTCCAGCATCTGCAGCGAATCCAGGAGCGAAGCTTGGGCGCCAAGCGCAACTCGTGCACGATTTCCTAAATATACCCAGGGATATCTATCGCTCATGGAAGCTCAACACACATGCTCTCCTCAGCTCTACAATAAAATGAAAATAATAAATCAACTGAAGCTCAACAAACGGTCTCCTACAAACGGTTTTCAATACTTCGAATATAAAACGACTTACGATTATTCACGTACCATCTAGTGGTCTCGACTCAAGTTTACGTATCGCGATTCGTCTAAGTATATCGCTCGCTATTTCTTCTAATCGTATTGCTTCCGCGTTAAGCTTAAAAAATCGTAGAATTGAAATATACTATACTATATACCCTCAGATTGCAAGTAATAGCCATAGTTGCACTTTGAAAGAGATGGATCCAACTAACTTCTAGATGCCAATCCAACACTGAACTAAAACATATGTAGAAAATGATCTTCTTCTAGAAACCAACTAAGCTCATAATGTAGAGTGCCGCAGAATACTTGACAGTTTGGATTGGATCTACAGCAGAGTTTTAGAAGAGAAATATGTATACATATTATATGTCGTTATTATTGAATATATAATATACACATATATATACATATGTGCTATGCGTTACATACCTACAAACATACAAGTATCATGTTTATGCGAGTCTCATACCAAATACTATATAATATATTTGTATATTATGAGCTAGCGGGCTAAACAAATATTTTCGAAGCTCAATAACTTCCGGCTTCGTGTAAGTGTGGTAATTAATAGATTAAAGATTAAAGAGTACAGCTACTTACATACATACATACTTCATATACTACTTATATGCATACTCGTACTACGCATGAACCTTTTGCCTAGCAGTAATCATAGTACCTTTCTCATACCTCATACCGCTGGATCGGATCTTAAAATGGAACAGCAACAACAAGAACAAGAAGAAGAACAACAAGAAGAACAAGAACAACAATTACTATAACAATAGATCGATTTAAATGGATGGCATTTGAAAAACCATCACGTCATACTACTTACATACTATATTCGTAATGCAAAGCCCGATTCTGAACGCCGCCCTCTCCACTCCATACCAGGAATTGGATGTCGATTTTGTATGTCTTACTACTTACTTACAAGCATGTACGTGTGCGTTTTAAATCATTAGAGAAAGACGATGTATGTAGATTCCTAGAGCTAGACGTGTAGGTAACGAAGCAAATACATAGCTGATAGTGCGTGTCTGTATTTTTTTTTTATATCGCTGTTAGTTCGTATGTATTGTACTTAGTTGGTTAATTGTGTGAGCTAGGCAAGCATAATACCAAAAAAATAAATATAAATAACTAAATAAATAATAAAAGAAGTAAAAATTATATATGGCAAAGGGTAAGATTGAAAACGTAATGAAAACACCAAAAGAGTTTAACTACTTAATACAAAATATTATGCAACATAAAGAAAAGCAAAAGCAACTAGAAAAGAATAGAGATTGTATATGTATGTGTAGGGGATCAGCGATTCAGCGATCCCGGGACGAAAACAAAAAGAAATCTTTCAATAATATATAACACTTCAGAACAAACAAACTGTTCCAGAATGATTGGAATCAGTATCCAATATTTCTCCCAAGAACATATTGTGAGTTCTTTTCATTTCGAACACCTTTATAATATGATATATTCATACAAGTATATGTATAAGTACTACTACTAAGTAGTTCGTACGAGTTATGTATTGAATGGGAAAAGGCGGAGTGCTTCGTAATAACGAGAGACATCTAGAAAAACTACTGTACCTACATACTTGCTACAACTCATAAGCAGCTTTTACCAAATTTAGTAATCAAGAAAGATTGGCAAAAAAAAAAAAAAACAAAAAACAAAACAAAGAAACCAATTAAGTATATGTAATATTATATCTAAAACTACAAGTTTGTCTTTATTAGCAACAATGTGTATTTCGTGCATCGCGTATAGCATATAGTGTGCAAAAAATAAACCCCAAATGTCAGCATATATTTATGTACAATAATGGTAAACATTTGAAGAGGAAAGCGAAAAATGTATGTACTATATATAAATATTGACGAAATTATTTTTAACAATAATAATTATAATAAATTATTGCATAACGCAAATTGAAAAGAAGAATTTATGTAACCATATGTATTTCATTTAATCACATCCATAATATAATTGGTATACTTGTAGTAATCCCATACAATACAATAAATGTAGAGCATTTTGTGTGTGCATGCATGTTTGTATTTATAAAACCATATATGGATATACATACCTACATACATTAATGGCAAGAAAAATTAATAATAACAATTACAAGTAAATGTTTTACGTAAATTAGTAGCAACCAAATAAATCCAAATTGAAATTTTAGATAAATTAAGCGAAGCATTATCTTTGGCATGCCTCAGATTTTATACCTTTGCAATTTTTGGTGATATAGTCGTGCTCTTTGGTTAAAATTGAAGAAATTAGAGAAGCTGGGAGAGATATAGGGAAAGAGTGTTGTCCTCTGACTAAACGGGTATATTTATTGTTAGTAACCAAAGTCCTTTTGTCCTTAAATAGGTTGGCATGAGTGGGATCTTCCTCAATAGCAACATAGTGCGGAGGCCTACGTCTGCAAAACATATCACCTCATGTATATCAAATTTGACTGGCAATCTGAAACTGGATACGGCTCTCCAAATTGTCCAAGCCAGCTACATAAAATCTGACTGATATAGACTGAGGCGACTCTAAAACAGCTTCAGAATAAAGATAAAGAAGTCAGCTGAAGAAGGAAATTGAAGAAAAACCTAAAGAAGAATGCTATGTAAGATAGCTAAAAGAAAAGCTAAAGAACAAGGCTACATAAAAAACTAAGAAAGAAGGTCACACAAGAAAAATAAAATAAGAAGCTAAAGAATACACCAAAGGAAGAAAGCTACTGAAGAGAGCCAAGGAAAAGGGAAGCAACAGAAGACGCAGGGGAACGAAGGGGACGAAGGGGAAGGGAATAAACAAGAATATAGTTAAAGCAGAAAGCAAAAGAAGAAGGCTACAGAAAAAAGAAAGAAGAATGCTTATGTTGATGGCTTAAGTAAATAGGTAAAGAAGAAGACTAAAGAAGAAAGCTGAAACTGGAAAAAAATCTTGCCAAGAATGGCAAATAAGAGAATAATGAAAACAGTTAAAAAAAAAAAAGAAGAAAGCTAAGGAAAAGATAAGGAAGAAAGGAAGGCTGCTAAGGAAGAAACCTAATCAAGAATCCTAAGCAAGAACGCAAAAGAAGAAAACTAAATAAAACACAAAGAATGCTAAAGAAGAAATCTAAACGCTCCTGCCAGATTTTTGACGAACACTACAACGGGTTGATTACTAACAATAAATATAAATATTTTGTATGGAAATATCGAAAAGCAATTATTTTTCTTATCGAGTTGTAAAGCACTTTGCAAAGGTATACTAAGTACTTGATAAATATCGGTACGATATACTATATGTATATTAAATAGTTTTGTTTTGATATTTTGTTTGTGTTTGCAATTTTCGTTTATTTGGACGCACTGTGTGGAAATAATGGATATTAAGTCCTACATGGCTTCATTAAAGAAGAACACTCGGCTTAGAAATTTGTACCCTATGCCTATATTTGTACTACCATTTACTAATAATATATTTATATACATATTTAAATTTAAATTCAGCTCTTCGGACCAAATCTTTCACAATAATCTTGACCAAAGGTCTGTAATGCGATTTCCATATTTCTTGCGATCAGTTCCAATGGACACAGTGCGCCAGATAATACGAAGACCCTTGATTGAAAGCAAAGCCAATGTAGAATTGATAAACTCACTGTTATCCTAAGATGTCCAAGATGATGTCATTGCATACATCTGTATGGGCCCACATAAGTACTACGATATACATACATACATACATACACGTATGTAGTAGTATATGTGTGTATACGTGTTTGCATTTTTTCGGCTCTAATTTAACATTTTTGTAAAACATTTATAATGTTGTATGTATTTTAGTGTATAGCTTAAGGTTGTATCAGGTGTATACGCCGCTGCGATTTACAGTTACATTTATTGATGTGAATTTTGCAAAAACAAAACCAAAAAAAAAAAAAAAAAAACAAAACAAAAAACCAAAATCTTAAAAATGTATTCAATTTGTATCGTACAATTTTTTTTTTTTTTTTGTTCGTTACATTCGAATTATTGTAAGATGTATATTTTAGAAGAAAGATAAAAAGAAATGGTTACTAGAATTAAACTTCTTGCCACATTCCTAGATCATTCAACTACATTCTATTTTCCATTTCCTACTTCTTATACTGATATATGTATGTACTACGCATGTAGTATTATGGAAGAGCTCAGTGGCAATATCAAGTGTCAGACTTCTTTGTATTGGAGGGATAAACTGCAGCTGGATACCAAAAAAATAAAACAACAAATACTTATATTTACAAACTGGAAGAACTTATATATACACATACATATATATATATATACATTAATAATTGTAACAAAAAACCAACAACAAGTAATAATTAAACAAATAAAGGCAATGAGAGAACATACTATTTGTTTTCAAAGCAACTAGCATTTGATTTATTGATATTGGTCTAAACGGTCCAAAATTCTCAGAGGAAAATCCTTCAACAAATGAGTGCAAACGCATTAAATCATTCGATTATACAGTTTTCCTCTTTATTATACAGTGGAAACTGAAAACTGTAATACCCTGCCTTGGATAGATGGGGCATTGATAAAACAACAATAAGTAGTACAGTCATGGATATTCCGATGTGCATTCTAGGAATACGTTAAAACTATTTTTATGATTTTATTACACAGTTTTCTTCTTTATTCATAATACCATGTCGAGACTAGTCAGAGAGGGGTTTCGTAGAAACGACCAAAGTTTAAAAGATGAAGGGGAGGTATTTTATTATTATTGTTTCTAAAAATCATGCGAGTCCGTAGCGATATCAAGCACTTCTTACCAGTCGTTATTCCAATTTTCAACCATCGGATATCTGAACTAAAGCATTATTATTTTACATAAATTATCATCTAACATATAAAATAAGAAATATTTTAATATATGTAAATATATATTGTGTATATCCCATGTACTTTCCCGTTACTTCTCGTTCTTTATTTTTTTGGATCGCCTTTTAAGCCTTTTCATAACTGATGAATCGTGCGACGGCTATACGACAAATTTCCGATAAACCAACGTTTTTATAGGTATAGATATAGTATACGAGTATATCAATACGATGTAATTTTTCCTTTATCATATAGATATCTAGTATATAGATTTTTTATTGAAGATCATACTTAGATCTTTCCAATTAAATTTCTGAATACTTACCTGCATTTGCGAATTTATAGGTGGATCAATAAACATTTGCCACTTTGTCAAAACCGATCGAAAGATGTTAAAAAACTAAAATCAAAATGCTTCTCCAAAGGATATTTACAAACTTGTTCCTTGTTGGCCTTCCATTCGTTTATTCTCATACAAAGTTATTCTAATTTCTTCCTCTATATCATCTACATCATTCACCACTTTAAGAACCATGTATAAGTTTTATTGGAAAATTCTGTATAATCTCTACACGAAATAATTGAACTAAGATGGTAAGTCAAGTCGCAGACGAGCATAGCTTTAAATATGATAGGATGGTCCTTTCTCCTCCTTTCTTTTAATAGAACTCTTCTTCGCTGGTTGAGCGAGATCATCTGAATAGAAAAACTCATTCTTGATGTGGTAGTGTTGAATCAATTAATTAGTTTAATGAATAAAAAGTCGTCTGAAAAATTCGATTATATAATCAGTTTTATTCTTTCTTCAATCTTCAATTCATGCAATGCACATGCATGCACGACACAATTTTTTGTATTTTCTTTCGTTATTATTTATTCGTATAATTCGTTATAAACTAGTTATCAATTACATGTAAATATTATTATTAAATTAATTATACATTTATGTTTCCATAATTAATCCATTAATGCAATAATTGCATCCCAATATAGGATTTTGTTGTGTGTGTGTTTTGTGGGTATGAATAATGGGGTTCCATTTGTGTTTGTGTTCGTATATTGTAAGTGCGTATGTAAAAAGTCTATGATTAAACGAACTGTAGGTTTTTCGTTAATTACGCGTTGTCAACTCTGTTTCTACGAGTGGTATATTTGTGTGTGTGATTCCGCTCATCAACACTGGCCAACTGATTCCTTACCAGTGTTGTAGACAGCGACTAATTGTTGTAAATGGATCTTCATGTGGAAGTGTACTGTGTTTCGACGCGATAATCTAACGAAAAACCTGATGCGAGCATTGGCAACATATAAAAATTCATCGTCATTCCCTTATACCAAATTGTATGAAATGAAAATGAATAAACCACTTCTATGTATTCCACATAAAAAATACATATATGTATATATATAAAATGCTTGAAGCTTTTTCGATATATAAAAAGAGAAGGGCTGTCTTGTGTGTGTTTACGCAAATATGTGCGTCGTTCCTAAGTAATTATAGCCATAGTTATTATAATAATAATAATAATCCGTTGGATTTCTATTAAGTTTTACGTTAAACATTTTTCAGTTGCCAATGCGAGGCATATTAGGTGTCTATATATAAATAAATATATATATACACATATATAGATATATATATATATATATTTAGGTATATATACATATATATAACTAATTAAATCATGCTTAATAAAAATGATCGATTCAAACATCGATGTTAGCATTAATTCATCTATTTCAAGAAGAAAAACAATAGATTTATATATATATATATAGTAATAATAAACAAAGCCAAATTGAAGTCGAAATTTTTTTTGGGGGTAAAATTTAGAATTTTGAAAATATAAGAAAGTCCATGGACGGTTTTTCAAACCGCACTTACGATACAAAGGAAAAACATAATAATTTATATACTCGTAATACGAAAAACAAAATTTAAAAACTCATTTGTTTTACAACTAATTCTTCAGGCCTTATTTCCAGCTTTCATTCAACATGCCCTCCCTATCTATCTATATCTCTCTCTCCCTCCCTCCTTCACTTATTTGTTGTTTGCTTTGGTGCACGAATTTCTGCCGATGAATTTTCATAGATTTAATCTTTAATGCTCTCTTTACCAACTAGAACGAGCCACGTTAGTTTCTTTTTTTTTTTGTTTTTTGTTTTTTTTTGTTTGTTTTGTTTTCTATGTCGTGTGTGTCTCTGATTGTGTTTATGTGTATGGGTGTAGTACAAACTAATTTAACATGTAAAAAAAATGTTATATATATATATAAATTTTTGCTGTATATATATATATATATAAAGAAATATAGCTATATGCAGCTAGTATAGGTATCTTAAAAATTACAACTACGTAGCAGCGAGAAGAAAAAAAATACATTGTCCAGACATTTTCTTTGTTTTTAGTTCTGTTTGTTGGACAGATGTGTGTGTGTGTGTGTTTGTGTGTGTGAACACATCTGACATATGTTCGAGATTTGTTTGATGGAATGCGTTTATATTTATATATATATATATATATTGGTTGTATATATAGTAAGTTGTTGAAACTGTTTTTTGTTTTTTTGTTGTTGTTTGTTTTGTATTTTATGTTGCTGATGGTTTTTGTGGTGTTGGTGAGAACTCTGATGATGATGGTGATGATGATGATTACTTTAACACTTAAATGTTGCTGGCTGGTGGTTGTTTGTTTGGTGTTGCGCTTTGTTTCATTTTCATTTAGTTATCAATATCATTTGTTTTTTGTTTGTTTGTTTTTGTTTGTTTTGTTTTTGTACATTTGGAAACAATTTAACGAGCTAAATGAATATTTTTTATCTTGGGTGGCACACAGAAAAGCGTAAATGTTTCTGTCTCTTGTTTGTTGTTTCTTGTGATTTTGTATGTGCTGTTGTGTGAGTATAGGTGTGTGTGTGTGTGTGTGTGTGTGTGCGTCTGTGTATTTTCATTGTTGTGGATGTTGTTTGTTTGTTCTCTTGTTGTTGTGCTTAAAGCTTAACAAGAATATTTATATATGTATACATAATTTAACACCCACATACACACACAGACGACGACTCTGCTGCTCAATTGCTGGCAGTCGTTGTTGTTTTTGCTGTTGTTGTTGTTGCTGCTGCCGTTGATGTTGCTGTTGCAGATGTTTTCAAATTTTTAGTTTCCAATCCAGCACTGGACGTTGTTGTTGTTGTTATAGTGGTTTTACTTGTGTTGTTGTTTGTTGCTGCCGCATTGCTGCTGCGGTTCGCTGCCGAAGGCCCATTAAGGAAATGACTCTTGATATGAGTCTGCAGTTGCTCCTGAGAATCGAAACAAAGTTGACATAGATCACACGTATAACTCGAATTATTAGACTTGTCAACAGCATTAGCTTTAGTATTTTTAGCTGCTGCTGTTGCATTTTTACGCCGCTCACCCGTTGAATGCGATGTCGTTGACTCACTTTCCGACGATGACGTTGCATCTCCACCATCGCCATCGCCATCAGAGTCGGCTTCATTAACGCCTTCTTCACCAACCTCATCATCTTCAACATCCTCATCGGCATCGCCATCGACTTCGCCGTCGATTTCGACATCGCCATCAACATCGCTTTCTTCCTCCGAACTGGCCGCCTGTTCCTGTTGCTTTTTGCCATTGACTTTGGCCACATGACCTCTATTGGTATTATTCTGGCCATGCATATAACCTTCATAGGGTATCTCCTCGTCATCGTCTTCGCTATCATCTTCGTCATCATCATCTTCGTCTATTTCTTCAACATCATCATTTACGTCTTCATCCATTTCTTCATCGACCTGCTCAATCAGATCATCATCATCTTCATCATCATCAATAGTAGTACTATTGTTTTTGTTTGTCGTATTGTTGTTGTTGTGCAATACTTTAACAATATTCTCATTGGCCACCTCCTCTTCTTCCTCATCGCTATCGTCCTCATCATCGCCGGAGGTATCCTCATCATCTGTTGAATCATCATCGCCATCATCATCATCCATATCAGAGTCTTCATCCTCTTCCTCCTCACCATCATACATTGCTTTGAGCATATTTGGCTGTTGCTGCTGCTGTTGCTGAGCCGTCTTTGTCTCTGTTTCTATCTCCTCATCATCCGTTGAATCATCAACATCACCTTCGGCCTCGCCCTCGCCCTCACCCTCAACTTCAACCTCACCTTCGTCATCGTCCTCAGCCTCATCTTCTGCATCATCACGCGACTGTATTGTCGTTGTCTTGCTCGATATTTTTGTACTTGTAGCTGTTGTTGCTGGTTGTGCTGTTGCCGTTGCACTGCTCCCTGTCTTATTGAATATTGATGACATTTTATTGGCCGTTTTGGGCCGCGGCTTGACCACCACTGGTACAATGACATCCTCCTTAAGATGATTATTGATGTGATTGATGAGCTTCTCTTTGCGCGACAAATATTCGCCGCACAGATCACAGCCCCATTGGAATGGACAGAATGGACGCGTTACCTTCGCATCGGCTAGCTTGTGTTCGATCCACAGCTCTTTAGTGTCAAACTTTAAATTGCAACGGCGACAGGACAGAGGAGCATCCACCTCAATAACGGGGGGTTCAGGCAAATTGCTTACCTCATGCTTATGCAGCTCGTACATATGACGACGCAAGTTGTTATTGCTGATGAACGTCGACGAACAATACTCACATTTGAGCTCACGTTTGCGCTTCAGCGACTTGCTCGATGACGATGTCGCCGATTTGTGAAGTTGTTGCTGTTGCTGATTGGGCATCAGACCCACTGCGTGCAGCTCCCGTAGATGCAGCATCGATGAGTTCAGCGAGCTGTTGTTGTTGTTGCTGCTGTTCGCCACATTGGCTGTCGCTTCGCCGTCGTTGGGATTCTACATACGAGGAAGGAGGAATATAATTGAGATTAGTACAACTCAGACATGCTCTAGGGGTTCCAAGGTTAGTTGGCAATATCATTTTATCATTTTTTTGCGACTGGTGCGGAGGCAACAAACGAAAAAAAACGTCAAAACGTTCTCATTCAAATAGATGCGAAAAAATACGCCCAAAACGGATTACGTTTTTGGTTGTTACTTGTTCTTGTTAGTTGTGGTTGGTGGCGCACCTCGCTGCACAAGCCCAAAAAGCTCACCTGCTTGCTATCACCTCTGAAATGCCACTTGCGATGCACCTTGAGCGCAATCACCTGGGGGAAGGTCTTAGCGCACAAATCACACGCGTACTCGCCATTCTCGTTCTGGCGCTCCAAATAGAATTGGCCCGGATCGGCTGGTCCGTCATCGAACATGGCTGCCAACGGATTATCCGTATAGAGGTCCTGTTCATGTTTCTGTATGTGCTTGCTAAACATTTCCTGGTCGGTGAAACGAGCCCCGCAAATAGTGCATGCCACCTCAGGAATGCGTATCTTGAGCGACGCTCCCGATGAAGAGGTGCCCGCAATGTGTGTGCCGCCGCCGCCTCCGCCAGCATTGCTATCGCTGCCGGCTCCATCATCGAGCATAATTTGCTGATCCTCCTCGTCATCATCATCGTCGCCAGTTTTGTGCTTGAAAACGGCGCGCGAAGCAGATGCCGAGGTCGTGGCAACGCCTCCGTTGCCGTCCTGCTGATGAGCACCTGTCGCCGTAATGGGTTTACGGTTGCATGTCGGCGTATGATTGTCGAGCATCTGACGGTCAAAGAATATCTTGCGGCAGAGCACACATTCGGCGGGATCGGGTACCTGAGGATGTTTCTTGTAGCGATGAACCTATAAGATTAGTTTATAAATAAATTAATGAAGGCACATAAAAATGGAAAAACCAAAAAAGCACTTACCCAAAGGCTCTTGCGACCGCTGTACACATTTCCGCAATCCTTACACGAATAGTCATTCGAGTCGAACTCATCGTGCGAGTTAATGTGTATGGCCAGCTTCTTATTGGTGTTGAAATTGGAAGGACAATACTTGCACTGGTACCAGTAGAGTGGCATAGCAGCCGCCGCTGTTGATGATGGCGTTGGCTCGGCTTGCTCCTCCTTAATGCTCGGCCCATCGTCGCCAGCCGCCAACTCTGCAGATGACAGCTTGTGTACGCTGCGTTTGTGTTGCTGCAACTCCATCTCCGAACTGTACACGATGGAGCAGACCTCGCACTCGAACTGCTTGACAATCATCTCGTCCTTGATAACGGTGCCGTGCACCTTAAACAAGTGCACCTTGAGACCCTTCTCGTAGGCAAATTCCGCATTGCAGAGCTTGCATTTAATGAACTGAACATTCTGCACCTGATGGTCGGTCAGCATGTGATAACGATAGGATTTCTTTGAGCTGAAGCGTCGCTGACAGATGCGGCAGCGCATGCGACGGAAGCGTCGATCGGCCGCCTGATCGAGACTACGACGGAAGACCGCCTGCTCCTGTGGCGTCTGGTTGAGCATCGCTGGCGGCAGGCTGGTGCTGCTACTTAGCTTCGCCGATGCCGAGCCCGATGACGTTGCGGCTGATGTGCTCGCTGATTGGGCGGCAGCTGCTGTTGAGGGTCCGGAACTGGTCGCCGTAATTGTCAGCGATTTTGGTGTCATGCGATTGGCCACAGCCAGTGCGGCGTTTGTGGCACTCGAGGCCGTGTAATGGGAGCGCATGTGATTCGAGAGTCCAATGTTGTTGCTGAACATGGCATTGCAAATGGGGCATTCCTTCTGTTGGTTGCCAGTAACGCTGCCGCTATTATTATTACTCACAGCTGCTGCATTGCCGCTCTCATCCAGGCGCATCTTCTTGGCCACGCCAACCTCTTCTTCTTCATCTTCTGAAATGCACAACAAAAAATCGAAAGGGAACAAAATTAACACCACCACGAAATGTTTAAAGCTCAACACAAAAAACACAAAAAGAGACAAGTAAACTTCTACACACTACACAATAGGAAGCGACGTTCTCATCCTACTCGGCATTTGTTCTTCCATTTTCGGAAAGAAAGAAAGAAAAATATACGTTTTTAAAAATTTTGAATTTTTTTCAACTTATTTTTGTTCACTGATTTTTGTACTATCCACTACACAAGCTAAAGGACAACTGAACATTAATGTGATTTTCGTGACGAAGTTAAATTTCGAAGCCTACTTTCTGAAAAACTAGAAGTGAATTCAAAAATCAAAATACCGTCGTAGGCCTACTACTATGTTGAAAGCCACCAGTAGGAGTTATTTTTGAAAGCTTAAGTAATTCCAATTGAAATGAGTTATAGTTAAAAAAAAAATCGCACGACTAATTCAAAGATTTGGAAGAAGGAACCGCTTTTGCAAACACAATCCTTTACATAATAGAAAAATGAGAGCAATTGATATCTACATTTTTGCATTATATATAGACGACGCGAGTATTCCCTCAGGCGTAAATGAATCTTTGAAAAATCAAATAGGCTGAGAACGCGCCCGCAACAAATTACCGAGTGTCCCACCATTTGTTATCGACATCAAATCCTTCATCACATAGTCATATCGGCCGGTATATACATTGGGAGTGCTGCCATCGGCCAACTTGACGGCATCCGCATTCACGATGTACTCGAAGCCGCCGGAATGCCGATTCTTGTCCACGCCATGCACATTGATCATGTGCTCGCGAAGATAGGAGATACGTGGATAGCCGAGGCCGCATCTAACACATTTGTACGTCTCAGGCAGCTTATTGGGATGCTTTGACTCCATATGTCGGAGCACATTGTTATAATTGTTGTACTGTTGACCACAAATGGGACAAACCTGTGGCATACGCGAGAAATATTGTGACTTTGGCGGCTGTCCGGAGCTATTGCTGCCCCCAGTCGGCGCTGACGATGACAGCTGATGAGTTGCGCTGCCACTTGGCTTGGGTGTCGATGTCAAGATGGCGCTACTGCCACGGGACTCCTCATTTGAGGAGGATACCCCGATACCGAGGGCGCCCAACAGGCTGCGTTTCCCCGGCGAATGCTCGACGCTATTGCTACGCGCCACGCCACTCACACTGGACGCATTATCGCTGCTCATGCCGCCCAAATGATCCTGATACACGTGATCCAAGAAGCGCTGATGCGTCTCAAGCTTGGCATCGCAGGTCATGCAGCGCAAGCGAACAATGCAGGCCATATTGTTGTAGTGGCGACGTCGATCCACCGGATCAACAAAGTCCAGACCACAAAAGCTGCACTGTATCGAGTTGTTATCCTTGCGCTGTACATCCGCATGCTTGTCATAGACATGTGTTCGGAACTCGTGCTTGGTCCGAAAACCTTTCGGACACAATTTACATTCATAGAGTTTATTCACAAGAAGCTCCTTGGCGCGCAATTTCTCTGGTGCCCCCGACTCTGTCGTCGGTGTGGCTGTGGCCGCCGATGAGGATGCGGCCGAGGCCGCCGCACCAACCCCATCTATGGGCGTAAAATGTGGTTGTTTGGCACGTATGCCATTCAAAAGTTTGTACAGATTAATGCAGTTGCGCTTTTTTAGATGGGAGATGAACAACGCCTTCGATTCGTTCATCTTGAGGCAATTGAAGCACAGATTGCGAGGGAGCAGCGGATACTTTTTACGCACATGCGCCATAAAGTTCTTGTAGGTGTTGAAAAACTTGTTGCAACAGCGACACGTCATCGTCTGATATTGCTCCAGAAACTCGCTATTCTGTTGAATGAACTCTACCTTCTCGCTCGTCAGCAAATGCTGATACTGTTCGGGATTCTCGTAGTCATAGCCGCCGCCTTCACACTTAATAAATGCATTCATCACCACCTGCCGATATTTTTGCGTCGAAATGTTGCCACTGGCGGCGGCGCGTGTTGCCTCTGCAGTCGCAGCAGCGGCGGCCGCACGCTTCATTTCCAGCGCAGCAGCCAGGGCAGGTGTGGGCTTCGTGATGGGCGTATTGTTGGGTGAGTCTGTGGACAACTGAAAGAGATTTGGATGCAAATTTCGCTCGTGACGACGCGCGTTGGCACGAGTGCTGAACTGCAGGCTACAGGCACGGCAGGAAGCCACCTTCGAGTCTCCAGCAGCGGCCACATTGGCCACAGCACTCGCGGGCAGTGCGGCCGCAGCCACTGCGGCAGCTGTGGTGACACTATGCTGCTGGGCCGAAAAGTCATAGTCGGATGTCTGCAAGAAATTGAAAGGGTTGCACAATTAGAAATTGGCTTGAGCACAGATTTTTATCTCAAGTAGAGTTGAGGCAAGAGAGAACTTTAAGATTACGCTCAGATATTATTTGCAAGAAAAACTGCTGCATATTTTTAAAGCTTCCGAATTTCTTTAAGCTCTCTACTCGCAAGTAGCTAAACGTTGCTTTCAATTCTTTAGTCGGTACAGTCCTCTAGAAACTAGAGTTCTCACCTACTCTTCAGTTTGAAATCGTCTTTTATTAGCTATCTTCGAGGGCTATGAAATATTGCGCCACCAAACTCTATAGAATCGGACATTGGAAATGAAATTCTCTCAACGTTTCAGAGTCGTTATTAAGTATTATTGTAGATCTGCGTAGATATGTCTAAAACTAAATATTTTTCTCAATTCAATATCGCTTTGCCTGCAAATAATTAGCATTTGAGCGTAATTTTTTGTCTGACTTTTTGTTTTCTTTTTGTTATACTTGTACTCACCATAAGCGGCATATCGCCCTCATGCTCAGAGCGTTCTAGGAACATAGTTGGATCTACCATATCATCGGACTCATCTATGCACTTCATTTGATAGTCCTCGTCCATATCAATGGGCTCATCCTTAATGGGTATGGCGGGCAGTGGCTGCAATGTAAATATAGAGAGAGCAGAGACGAAACAAAATAAACGATTAAAGCGACCTTATTATGGAGTGTTGATTAAAAATGCCAAAAAATAGAACACAATATATGCAATTTTGTTGGGCCAAAAAGTGCTGCAGAACCAAGAAATCGAGAGTATGTAATTATGTAGAATGTATTGTTGGGGTCCCTTCGAATGCACGATACAATTACATTATAGGAGTAGCGTCTGAAAAAGCGCAACTGTTGTGCAGCACTATGTAGCTGAGTGGCCGCATATGTGGCCGCTGTCACTGGCATGAGCAGCGACGCTGTGGAGGCGGCGGGAGCATTGCTGCTGCTGCTGCTCGGCATATTTGGCATATTTGCGGACGTCTGTGGTTGACTGAAATCGAGCGGCAGCGACAATGGCAATGTGGACAACATGGACGACAACGGTGGCTGTGACGACGTCGCGGAGGGAATTTCAACACCCATAGCTATATTTGATGATGTTACAGCTGTTGCTGCTGCTGCTGCTGCAGCTGCTGCTGTTGTTGTTGTTGTTGGCACTGTCAATGTTGCTGACGGCACAGCAATATCAAGTGGCAAATATGTTTTGGGCTTAAATTTAGGCAGACGTGGCTGTTGTGGCTGCTGTTGCTGCTGATAGTGCTGCTGCTGATGATAATGATGCTGCTGCTGCTGTTGCTGTTGATGCTTATGATGATCTGGTCTAAGATGGTGCGGTTGACGTCGTGGTTGACGCGCACGTCGATGTTGCTGCCGGCTAGCTGATGCCGACAATAACTGTTGCTGCTGTTTGCCACGGTGCTGCTGCTGCTGCTGATGGTGTTGGTGCGGTTGCTGTCTATATTTTCGATAATGCTGCTGATGATGCTGCATCGAGACTGCCGCCGTTGTTGCTGCTGTTGTCGTTGTAGCCATTGTTGCTGCCGCCGACGCTGCTGTTGTTGCCGTTGCCGCTGGTGCTCCCGCTGGCACCTGCAACAATAATGACTGCAAAGTACGCGCTTGCAATTGCTGTTGTAGCTGTAGCTGCTGTTGCTGCTGCTGTTGCTCTACTGGCTGTTGTTTCAGTAACTGTTGCTGTTGTTGTTGTTGTTGAGGTTTAGGACTCACATAGACTGTTAAAGATTTGCGTTTCTTCAGCGAGGGTATGCCCTCCAAAATCTGGGATGTTGCTTTTTCCACGGCAGCCGCATCGTCCAGCTCTTGTTGTTGCTGCTGCTGCTGTTGTTGTTGCTGCTGCTGCTGCTGATCGCCATTCTCAGTGCTGTTCAAATCCAAATAGTTCAAGAGCTGCTGTTGCTGCTGTTGTTGCTGCTGCTGCTGCTGTTTGTTGTTGCTGCTGGTGGTGTTATTATTATTACTGTTGCTGTTTTTATTAGCCTCCACCCAATTGCGTTGCTTAGCCTGTGCGATGAGGCAGCGATTCTTGAAGCTCTGCCATGAATTCAGGTAGCTAATGCACGCATGGCAGATTTGTAAGGATAGACGATCCTGTGGTGTGATCTGAAAAATAGAATAATTGCAAAAGTGCTTGTAAGTCAAAGTGTTGCCATTTCGTTATAATATTAGTTCAACAATAGTGTATTTAAAAATGCACAAAGGCAGCAGAGTCGTCTATTTTATGTATTTGTCTCTTATATACTAACTCCACATACACACATGCTATGTACATACATATATGTATTTATTTGGCTCGGCTCTCAGATCACAAACAAATTGGCATATCCTATGTGACCAGCGGCATTTTGCGTGTGTGTGTGCGTGTTCATTACATTTGCTTAGCCGCCTAATAATTTCAAGTAGTTTGAGTGTTCTTCGTGACTCCCCTCCGCTGCTGCTGCAGCCGCTTTTGCGGCTAACCAAAGCAACAAGCCAGCATTGCCTACCTACCCTATAAATGTCAATGACCTGCTTATAATTATATGCAAAATTCCTGCCGCTACTGCTGCTGCCCACACAACAGTAACAACAACAACAACAACAACATTGCATACAATTCCAATGCATGTATGTCCTTTGCTTGATGTGTGTGTGTGTGTGTGTGTGTGTACACCGGCCTAAGCATGTACTTAGCTATTACCTTATGTACAAAGCTGCCACTGCTAAACATAAGTTGCTTATGTACATACAGACATACCTATGCACATGCTTTGTATTTATGTACATATGTACCTGCCTTCTCACACATACGAGTATGTACATACATATGTATGAATGGATGCCTTTGTTAACGCCTTTAATTGCCTTTAATTGTGGCAGGAGTTTTTTTGGCTTTAGAAATCAACAATAAAATCATGCACGCCTATGTATCTACATCTACGATGTATGTACGAGTATATAGGCAGATACATCTATGTATCTTATGTCTGTGCAGACTCCTTGTCGCAGAACTATTAAACTGCCATATCGACAAGAATCGAGTTTAATTGCAAAAGGGAGTGAGCGGCAGAAACAAATATAACCCCAGCCGGCGAGTGAGATACGAAAAATTTAATATAAAGAATTAAAAGAGCTCGAATATCGGAGTGTTATTTGTTTATCTGTTCGAAGAGATATATGGTGTATACTTATATTTATTCCATAACTATAAAGAGTCTCTCTCTAAAGTAGAGAAAATTATTTATACGCTGCTAAAAATTTGTGTTCCCATATCCTGAAAACTTCTTTACAACCTCATATACTGTGTGATGAAATATTGAAATAAGGACAGAGAATTCATTCAACAATTCAACAATCTATAGCGCCGATTTTGACAAAACTTTAGATGAATAAATCTTAAAAATGCCAAATTCACGTACAGTATCTACTCGTATATAAATAAAAAAGTTGTTGGCACTAAGCATGATCGTTCCTGTGACATCCCTATATTTTGAGGGACTATAAAAACCCCGTAAAAATCAGATATGCTTATAATAATAGTAAGAGTGATTTCATTATTTAAAATAATGGGACTAAAATATGTAGTTTATCATCAGCTTGCTCTGCCCATGGATAAGACAAGATGATTGTCCTTAGCTTGAATATAGTTCCAAAGTTATCGCTGTTTTGTCTCAACGTGCTGTTCATATACACCTAATTCTGTTTTTACACGGTAGATTGTTTCCAGAAACAAACGACATTGATCATATGGAAAAAGAGGTGTTTGATTCCTTATCTCTAAAGAAATATATATACAATTTTTAATTTTCAAACCGTGTTATATCAAAAACGTATAAAAAAAGACCATGTAAAAACAGAATTAGGAGTATAGTACTTAGGTACCTTTAACATGGGATCTGCAACGCTCCCTTTAACCTATTATATACATACATTTGGACATTTTTGCCTGACCAATTACCCAAATTTGAATATGTAAACAAAAACAGGCCTGCATACATATAGCCAAGCAATGCTAAGTACATTTAAAAACATTGTACATTCGCTTTTATGCTATTTCTAGGCGGATTTTATCCATAGCCATATTTATATACATATTCTAAATTTAAGTCCATTAATTACTGGGACTTGAACTCATGCAGAGTTGCTCTAAAAACCTTCCAGTTTGGTGATGAAATACTCGTATATAATGCGGTGATTCTTATGTTGTTTTTGTCATGTTTCGATCGATCCTTACTACTAGAGCTACAGTCTAAAAATTAACTTTTAGTGAATGCTCTGTATTTTAAAACTGAACATTAAATGGGTATAATGGTGTGCTCTTTTTAACCGACTTTAAAAAAGGAGGAGTTTATCAATTCTTCTTTTTTTTTCAATCAATTGTTTCTGGATATTCCAACATAATCTCTCGTTCTTACAGTGTAGATGTAATGAATTATTCTTGTGTTATTACTAAAACAATGAATGGTAGAATGCAATGCTTTGCTTTAAAGTAGCATTATCAACAGCAAATCCAAGTCTATTCCTAAATGTGGAAAAGCTGATGCTACAGCCGTTTCTCAAGACAATGTTTTGACTCGAATCAAACCGAATTACACTACACATTTAATGCATTTATATATAACTAATTTATGCAACAATGAAGGAATAGTAGTAGTAATAGTAGTAGAGATGAGAAGGGTTAAGATGGTATGCAACAGGAATTAAAATACCTGCAATTGATATTGAAATTCGACACAACATTTGCCAATTATTTTGAATGGAATAGAGCCCCCACACGCATACATACATATACATACACATACATAGATATGTATTGTGTTTGTTCTGTATAAGGGTGAGTGATGCATGATTTGATAAACGCTTTAATAATGATGCTATTAGTAAATTCTGCCTATTTTGTGTTGTTGTTGTTGATGGCGCTGCTGCTGCTGCTTCTGCTGCTCTTTGCAGCATTCCATTCCCGTTCGCTTTTGTGCCTTTGTAAAGTGCCTGCCCGCTTTCCCACCTGCCGGCCACCCACACCCACACCCACACTCATACCCACATAGCCAATATGCATGTATATACTTATATGTATACGCATGACTGCATATAACTGCCCTTATGTACATGTGTGCGTCTTATGTACATAAGTGTATGTGCATGTCTTGTGCATTTTGGCTTTCTGTATTTCGATATTGTTCATTCACCTTGCCCATACCTTGTCACACATCTTTCACAAGTCCAGGCGATGGCGACGACGCATCGTCCAAATTACTGATGGCTGCAACAACAACAACAACAACAGCAACAACTGCAGCAGCAACAACGGCAGCAGCAAGCACCACCCAACCACCCTAAACTACAGGCAACACTTTAATATGTTGCTGTGGCTTGTTCTGTTTAAGCGCGTCGTCCATATTCCAATTGAACTTTGTGCCATTCTCCATTCGATTGAACACGGCCATGGTTTGGGGCAGTGGTGTGTTTCTCTATTTCTCTACCCGACTGATTACGGTTTGAGGTTAAGTACATTTATATGTACATTGCGGGAGCTTGGACATTTACCCGCTCCCTAGCTCAAGCGCTTACCAAAACTCTCTCTCTCTGAACAAACTATTGCCGGGATTATTGATAAAATGTAATCATATGAAGACGCTGGGAAATTATAACCTAAATATATATATGAACTTATATGTATATGTATTTATACTGGCTTGCGATTAAATATGGACGAATATATATTTATCAAAAATCTAAAATAAATATAGATACAGCCAAGAACTAGAAGATGTACTCGTACATACGAAAATGTTTCAAGACGATCCTTTCTAGGACGAATTTTTATACATTCCGTGGAGAAAATCAATTGATAATTAATATGGAATCATGACAACAACGAAAAAGTTTAGCTAGTTTGTTGAATTGCTACTCGCATGGTTATTTGAAGCTAAAGTTATTTACTTTCTTGTGGCACTCAATTTATTGCTTCTTTTAAATCATGAAAGGAAGAAAGTATTGAATAGCTATTGTAGCTATACACAGATTTCTCACATGTACCATGCACGTCACGCGTCCGCCTCCTGCAGGACCCCATTGGCAATGCCAGTAAGAGCAACAACAACAAATAGTGGCAGAGGCAGCAGCTGCGGCAGCTGCCATTTGCCGCATTGCCAGATGGCAGGGCGCTACAAGGTGCAATCATTGTAGTCATCGCCAGGTCAGGCAGCCCAGGGCAGAGCAAAGCAGAGCAGGACGGAGCACAGATGAAGACACCAAGCTGGGCAAAGCTGAGCAGCGACTGCCAGCATGGCAGCCAATTTAGAGGAGGGCTGCATCGTAGCTTGTCCAGCTACGCGACCTGAACGAGTTTCACACACACACACACACACACACGCGGAAACGAAGAGGAAGAGAAGCACAGAGAGAAAAATGCGGCTGCAATCTGCAGTCGCTTTTGTGTCCTTATTCGTTGGTACCACCATATCAGTATGTCTCTGTGTGTGTGTGTGTGTGTGTGTGTGTGTGTGTGCCTTCTTATGTTCATACACAGATTAAGGTGTGTGTGTGTGTGTGTGTTTGGACGTCCTGTTGTCCATTGGCCAAAGATGTATAGGAACCTAAGCTTCAAGTAACCCTCATAATGTTATAGAGATCTGCGTTTTCGCTCTTCCCGAGACGGTATTGAATTTCACCAGCAAGCAGAAGCATCAGCAGCAAAAGCAACAAAAACAACAACAACAACAACAAGCACATCAGTCAAGTGCATGGCCGATAACTTGGCATCGATAAGACAAGCCAAGAAACGAACAAACCAAGTAAGCTGACGGAGGGTCGGTTCGTCCGTCGGTTGGTCGGTCCGACGGTCCGTCGGTCTAGACTCTAGAGTTGGAACAGAGACTGTTATCGATGCTAAAACGCGAAGACACTTGAGCCATTACGACAAAGATGATGACGCTGCCGGACTAGAGAGTGAAGCAAGTGTTGCCGCAAGGCAATCAAGCTTAACAAAATAAGTGAGAACAGAATGGATGCCCGCCCTCCAACCAATCAGTTAATTGCCACATGGAAACCTATCACCTAAATTCAATTATTTTCTTAGTCACTACTTCCCTATCGAAACGAATCTTTCGCAATTCCTAGGG